GCCAGGATTCTTTGGCTAATTTTATTTCTTTAAGTACCTTTTTGTGGTGTTCCTTGTACTTTTCTGCGTCTTTATGCTTAAACTCTCTTCTTTCTCCATAAGCTCTAAAATCTGATGTGCTATCCATGGTTATTTTATTTGTCTTTCCTGTTTGATGTTGTTTATTGTTGTTGTTACTAATACATCTTTGATCTCGTTCCACATTGTATCAATATCTTTACTATTATGTTTTGCAATGTCGTTACAATTTTATGCTTATTTCTTCTTGCATTTGTTGTTTTACGTTGCTTTATTTCAGTTTCTCGTTGTTACTTCTTATTCTTCATGTATTATATAATAAAATCGTATCGGATCATATGCCTTTCTCAAATATCCTGTCTTTTGTTATGACAAAAAAACATCTTTTTTGTCATAACCCAGGTCTCATATCCTTATGGGTTGTTAAGGATCTAATTAGGCATAAATCTTTTATTGACATAGTATGCAGTTTCCACTAGCGATACTTACATTTATTTTGTTAAGTATGAAATTTTCTTGATTGGTTTATATACGTGAAGATATCCATATATGCTCCAAGGTATATTTGTTTATATGTATTTCATTTTTCATGCCTTCTTTTAACTGCCACATTTGGTTTTCTCTTTCTCAACTTCTCCGGTAGTTGCTTCTGCAGCCTTCCTTATTATCATTTTCATTCCTTCTCTGCAGTGTTTCTATTTAAGAGTAGAAAATGATCCTACGGCAGAACTGGCACTCTATATGAATTCTACATTCTTAGAGGCTATAAGAAAAATAACATAATACCTCTATTGTTAATTATGTTTAGCCACGAAAGTGTATTACTTAAAAACAACTGATAACCATAGTTTAATTTGTGTATCTGCAAATGCCAGAAAATGGCCAAACAAGACATGCAAGAATAGAAAAGAAGATCCCAAGAATCCGTAATATGTCTCCCTTAAAACCTATTAGGTTTTGCTGTATCCTCTTTTCCGATATTACAGAGATATCTAAGTGAGCAGTGTTCAGTGAGAACATAGGTTATTACTCTGAGTCCAGTTTTCTAAAGCCTAAGTATTGTGCAGGGTGTAGAACGTTGTAATGTTTTTGCTTGCCTTTGGCAAATATATGGGTCTTTCATATGGGATTAAACAGTATCGCCCTCACAGAAAATAAAAAACAAAGTTAAAATGAGATTTGTTAAAATTTTATTTGGTGACTCTTACGCATATCAACAGAACCAATGAATGAATATTTACAAAACAAAATATATCAATCATCAAAATTATCAATTACAAATTTCGAAATTCATTCAAATAAAGATAGATTGTTATTTTGGAACCAGTACAAAAAGATAATTAGTGCACATACTAATAATGAATAAGTGCCACATTTTTTTTGACCATATTTACAATTTACTCATTCATAAATATATTTTTTACCTAATTTTAGTAGTTACTTTTGGCATGAGGATGATGTTGACAACAGTTTGACATAGTTTGATATAGTTATTGTCTCTAGATTTGCCCAATACATATTTATTTATTATACATTTGTTTTATAACCACCTTTGAGAATAATTTGCTTTAAAAATTAATTTATTTGTATAATTTTTTTTTTCAACGAACATACTAATCTAGCAGAGAATATTTACAGAAATATATATTGATTTAACAACTATGGGCACCAATAATGAGCTAAGTGCCAGAAATTAGGCCAGACCACAAAGAGTTAGCTAAATGCGTTCACCAACAACCTATACAGTCGGCCGAGTCAGTTATGTTAGTTTAAAAGTTTAAACTATGCCTGAAAATGCTTATTCAGCACTCGGTATTAACCAATCAACTAGTACCGTCATTTTACAACTGATCACGAAATTTATGTTTGAAAACAACCAATAATAATAAAAACCGATACAATGGAATATCGAAGGACCCGATAGCATATTTCATAATGTACCTACTATTTTACCGAATTTGAATCAATTTAGCGCGAACCAAATTGATTTGACTTGCAGAATATTAGCAATTTAAACTTCTCGATGTAATTCGATAACATCGGACGTATATTTTGCAACATATGTAACTTTTTACTCCAAATTTGACACGACGTGTATTTGTTGTTTATATACCACGTTTTAATCCTCTATCTGGAGATATCTGTAACTTTGCTCCCACATTCAATACATTTCATCCATGGCCAAAAGGAATGTATGTATCGTTTCAGTATTCTAGAAATTTTCCTTCAAGAATTATTGCAGATAAACGATATGATATCAAGGACTTGTCAGGTCTTTTATAAAATAATGGTATATTTGTTTTCTTCCCATTAATATTTGTACTGTGATATTGATTTGAACACCCTGATTACACTTTGAAGGAGGCAACATAAAACACAATCTGTTTGTCGTTACTAAACTTCAACTTTAAACGAGTAGCTGATTCATACATAAACAAAAGAAAAACTTAATATTTCCAAATGCAGTCGATTAAGAGTTAAAAACCTCATCCGGTATCGTTTAAACAAGAACTGTATAACAAAGTTAAAGTATGGAGCACCTGCAAGTTATGAAATATAAATACATTTAGACTTGCGAAAAATGTTTATTATTGAAGTGAACACTTCTTACCGCTCGTTTTGCACCGGCCCGAAATCATATTTAGCGTGACTCGAAAAATCGAGACACGTGCAGTAACCTTGCAGCATACAGTAATATACATACATATACACTTATTATAAAAATAAAATGACAAATAACAAACGTCATTTTATTTTTTTATGACTATTTTATAACAACTCGAGAACGACTGGATTGATTTGGCTAATATTGATTTTAAAATATTTTTATTATTTAAAATTAAATAACATTAAATAAATGAAATTAAAAAAAATACATAAAATAAAAATACGATTAGAAAGCTATGCTCCCCCTTCTCGGTCGGTTTTTAAATCCATTATAATGAAATATAGTGATGATCAAAATGAAGTAATTAAACAATAGTTAACAAATTTTGAAACTAAAATCATTAAACAAAATTTGTTAAGAAAGAATTAAGATTTTTTTAATTTTAAAAACTTAAATCTGTCTTGTTATTATAAAAAAATATTAACAAGTCGGTAATAAGCAGAGATAAAATTTCATTAACTCAATATATAGTAATAACGCACTATAAAAAGTATTCACTTCTGTCGGTACACCCACTGGGCACCGTTTTTTGTTTAACCAATACCATATTTTATATTATGGCTTAGAAGTCATAGTGTATAATTGCCAAACTTGAATGTTTATGTTTGTAAGTTATTCCAGTATAAAGACAAGTTAAATATAAAACAATATTTTGCAAAAACATTTATTGCTGAATAAACAATATTTTGTTCTCCGTTCCACGTTAATTTTTTGGTTAAGAAAATATATAGGGAAAATATATTTTGCATAATTTAAAGGAAGTAAATGGAACGTTCTTGGAACTGATCTACTAAATTTGCTTTATTCAAAAGTAAAAAAAGAGTTAAGAATAATAAGTACCTGTCCACCGACTGCTCGGGTGGTAAATTGTATCTGCGCCAAATATATAATTGTTGAACGCGTAACTTCAGTGAGGGGCTTATATCGGCCACACCTAACCTAACCTATGAGTAGTAATGTTTATTATTGTAAAGTAAAACTAATAAATGTGTTAAATTTACCAAAACAAACTTCTTTTGCTGGCACTTACCTCGATGTTCCAGATAAATATTATCATTAGCATATTTTATGTATTCATAATAAGTATGGCATATTTAAATTTAAAAGTTGGGGTGCCCAAAAATTGACTTGTTTTAGAAATTCTTATGCTAGATCTCTACCTACTTTTTATTTTAAATTTTATTACTACTTTTTATACTAGGAAAAATATTGACTATTTAATGCTTAGTTAGAAAGCTATTTTCTTCCTTAAATTTATTACTGAAGAAATATCTCGAGATTGATATCATTCTAATTTACAGTTATCCTGTGTTGTGAGGGCACTGCCTTCTTTCTATCGACATCGGTGGGCGACTTCTAATGCACAAAAGTATTTATTTACAAGTTTGACATTATTAACACCAAATTAGTTCTTTGATAAAAGATCCATAAATAGTTTGTCGGTTTATAGGCTGCGGTCTACAATCATTAATAATTAACATGTTAACATGACATTTCATCTACAAATGGTAGACATTATTAAAGGCGATTCAGGTTCACCTGTGATGGTTCTCCTCTAGAGTAGGAATCTACCATCAACAGAAACGTTGGTAGGTTTCATATTGGGCCTAAACTTTTCAGGTTTGCGTCTAGCTCAAATCATAATGTTCTTTCTCAGTCCATTTTCTCAAATTGGATTGTCTATCCACGACTCACATCATCAAGTAGCTATTATTAATCAATATTCCCATGTAGATATAGAGGAGAAGCAAATATTGATAATAACTAGATAAATATAAACTTAACATTTTATAGCATTAACCTCGTTACCTATCACGTTTCATACATTTTATTTAAATATAAAAAAATCATAATATTTGGACTGGTTCCGATATAACATTTTCTTTACAACAAGTTCCTCTAAGTAGCAAACACGCACGAAATTTGGCGATGAAAAAAAAAATAAACTGAAACGATTGTATATAAAAATATATTTATACAGAGTCAGAAAAGAACTGTGTAAAACATAAAACTGTTTCTATGTGAACCGAAAAAAAAAAATAATTGAAAGAAAAAATAAATAAGAAATATCGATTTGTAAATTAAGAAAAGCCGTTTCCATTATTTGAATTGAATATCCTAAGTATGTTGTTTATCTAGTTAAATAAATAGATATTACCCTTTTCTAGTAATATCAGATATAAAATAAAGTAAAACGGCCGAAATAATGCAACATTTTAAATACTAACATTCACTTGTTTTTAAGAATATTGAGAACTTTATTATTATATAGTTTACTATCCTAACCTATAAAACAACCAACAGAAACATGAAGAAATCTTAATTTATCTTTAATCTTTTTAACCTTTAGAAAATTTTAGTATTTAAAATGTTTTGAACATGTTTATGTTGCGACTAAACCTAACCTTATAAATATATTATTCATTCACTTCTTCTTGTTTTTATTCGTTGCGCCTCTTGGCGGCGTCACAGGTCTGCCTGCGTTCATGTTGTACTGGAATTTCCTCTTGTCTGCTGGCTTTAAAATTTGAAAACTACACATTAGTGTCTCATCCACCGACATCATCGCACCTGCGTTATCAAACTCTCCTGAAAAATCAAATTATCATTAGAAATAGTTGTTTGAAAAAGAAATTTGCAGATAAATACTTAAACGTAAATTGAGAATATACTAAATAGAGTGGGACACGTTTAATACAAAAGTTGGTAAATCAAATTCTACGATAGTTCAAACTTTTTGTGTATTTCATTTTATAAATATCCTCTATAATTAAAATTTATTCTGGTTAATTAGAACTGACATGCCTCTGTTTTGAAATGCAGTATGTATTTTGATGGCTGAACAGTTTCTTGGACAAGAGACGGTTATTTCTTTAGCAGAATTTGGAGAGGGGGTGGAGAAGTTTCTGAATGCATTAATTTCGTTCGCAGTACTAGTAATGGACGCGTTCAGGATATGTTCAAAACCCTCTTAAGCGGGTTCACGTTCCGATATTTAGTCCGACTTGTGGTCCAACCTCCGAAGTTGGATACGATATCGGACCGTGACTCAGCTTGCTGGATTGTTGAAAATCTAGTTGTACGAGTCGGAACATTTAGAAGAACGATTCGGAGGTCCCACTTCTGACTAGCACGTAGTGGGAGCGTGAATGAAGAGTCGGAAGTCGGATCAAAACTTTTCTGTCATCGCTTTGAAAAAAGCCCTTGAGTACCTACTGCACGCCTTCCGTAATTTCTGAATTTATTGATAGACATCTTGTCAGATATCTTTAACTATCTTATAACTTTATTCTTTATTAAATTTATTCTGTTAAAAAAAAATAACAGATAATTCAGAAATAACCCACGAAATCAAATGAAGTAAAATGAAAAACCAATAAACTTCTATAACTTTTGAGTTAAACAAAAAAAAAAACAGAACCAAAAGTAAATAAGCACAGGCCAACGCTAACGAATCAGTTGTTTAAAGATGTGGTTTAGCCCTAGCGCACAAAGAGAGAAGTCAGGCGTTCTGAGTTCCTCGTAGTACTTACTTCCTAATCTTATAACACACACGCCAGAGGTCAGAACTCGGCTGTCACTAAGAATTTTGCTAGGTCGGAAACAAAATTGATTTATTTTGAGGAATATGTATCAGACAGTTGGTTTCTGATATCAATCCAAAGTGATTCTCTGAATAGGCAAAACAGGAAAACACAACATAATATGCACAACAGGTACATATAGATGGAAGGCAACACGTAAATACATATTTCTGACTATTTGGTCACTATCAGTATGGTGCAAGTTATAAAAGTAGCATGTTAAAACTTGGGAAAGGATCACTATAGGATCACAATAATAAATAAAAAGTTTAGCTTGAAATTACAAGAGAGATGGTACATAATAATGGTAAATAAAAGATTATTTTTATTTCTTTTAATTTATATTTAGGGTTCTATTTCATGCACTATTCATTAAAATACGAAATGTTTTTCTATTTGTCTGTAATTTTATATAACTAATAAAAACATTTATTTCAGGTAAATACTGGAGTATTAAATGGAATAATCTCAAGGATAACTACAATAAGTTCCAAGAAAAATTTTCCAACTCAGACCAAGAGGAAAAAAGAAAAATATAAAAGCTGGCCCTATACAGATCTACTGAGATTTTTAAACGTTCAGATAAGGACAACTGAATCAAATGTTAGTATTAGTCAGACTGGAGAAAATACTCGTAGCTATTCTCAGTAGTCAATGATAAAACAAGTAAACTAAAGACAAAACAAAACTATAGTCTAAGAGGCCCAACCAAAATAATGTTTCTTGAAAAAAAAAGACAATCCATGAACGAAAAGTAAATGATAGTGAGAATATACTGGACTACCTATCGTCTGTTTTTTAACCAGGAGTAATTCAAATTTTCCGCGCCGTAATGCTTGTTTGTAATTGGTCCAACCGCAGGCAAGTTTACTCCACTAAATTATGACATATTGACAGTAATGAAATTTGTGAAATTTTAAAATTCAAAATTTATATCGACGATTTTTTGTATTTTCTGCGTTATTCCTTACATTTTTAGATTTTTCGTTTGCATTTATATATAAAAAACAGTTCTTTTCAGAACTATTTAGCGACATATTAGTGTTATTAAGATAACAATATGGATTCAATGAGTGGTAATTATTATTCTCCAGCTTAAAACGTCGAGTAGGTTTGGGTCATTTATTATCAAATGAGAAACAATGTATTATAAACAGGTAATTCATAATTCTGTACCATAAAATTAAAGATTCTGGAATGAAAATAACAGCCACGGTAGCAAAAATAAAACAGAAAGCAGGTTAGTTTTGCAGAATAGTTATTGTTGCACAGTATATTATTTTTCTCAAATATATAAATCGATTTCTGACTCTTTAAGTTGTTTGTAATAACTTGGACTTGGTGATATATGAATAGTATTTAATGTGATATTTTTATAGATGATATTTATACTAAATATAGTGTTTATAAATTTATAAATGTATGTTATTTATATCTAATTATCATAAGAAAAACGGCAACTAACTTTTAAATTTAGTGTATACTTGTTAAGAAACATTTTCATTTTGTTTAGATCACAATAAAAGAGCATTAGTAAAGTAATGTTGTGTTTTAGTTTGATTGTGTTGATACAGTTGGTTTTGTTCTTCCTGGTTGTAGATCATCACAAGAAAACTGCAAAATTATGCTAGAATGTAACATAATAGATTGAATTTGTTGTTTATCTCACAGATATCTCACAAATCCAGTATTTTTTAGAAAATTTTATTTATTGATAACAAATGGGACAAACTCACTGTCAATATTAAACAAGAATCCAGCATTAAAGAAATTGTAAGTACACACTTATTTATACAAAGTATCTTTTGCATTTGAGTGCTTCAAATAGAATCTAAAGATATTGATACATAAGTTAAACAAATCTATCTAATGAGATAACTGATTACCTTGCATGAAAAATAGGACCCCACTTATATTTGAACCATAATTTATTCTGTCATGGGAAACATAAAAAAGTGAATTCTAAAGCAGTGAACGAGAAGGAATATGTAAAACAAATTAGCTGAAGCAATTCATGAGATTGGATTATTAAGCTTAAAAATAATGATCAAAGTCAAAGTTAACTCTTCTGGTAAGAAAAAAAAATAGATTCAAGAAATTGATCACACCAGAATAAGAATATGGTCTACGCAGTTTAAAAGAACAGTATTTCAGAAATTTTTTAACTCTCTCTAACTTTTTGATACATGCATTTGCATAGCTTTGTTGCATATAAGATCTATTTGCAAATTAAAAGACAAATTTCTGTGAAAAACCATATTTAGATCTGTAACATTATTGACTCTCCGAATCAAAATATTCTCTAAATTATAATTAAATACCATAGACTCAACTACCAGAGATCTATAAAACTGGTATTTAAACATTTAATTCACGATATTTAAATTACGTATTAATTATTAATAATAATTACATATAATTGAAAGTGAATTGAAAAAAATTATTATTCAAACATAAATCACAGTATTCTATACTGTGCATAAATAAACAAAGTTAGGTTAAAATTGACGTGTAAGGTTGTTCGGTATTGATTACTCGATTACCGCAAGGCCTAGATAATCAACAAAAAAAGAAGATGTATTTGGCGACTTTTCTAGTAACTTTCTTGGGTGTAAATCTGTCTTTTTGGTTTACTCCTCCTGGTTAAAAAACAGAGTATAGAAATTAATAAGAAGCAAAAAAAAAGACCAGTAGACGAGGTAAAGCATTTATTTCTATTTAAAAAGTTTCCACCCAGAACGCAAGATATGCTAAACTAGATATAGCAACTTTATTTGTTCGGTATAAATTGCAAGCAGCAGGGTATAATAGTGATTTTATCCCTGAAATTAGGACACAGTTCCAAACAACAGATCTTTTCACTAATATATCACCAAGACGAGTCGTCCCGGGTTACATCCCCATCATCAGCAGGACAGATCGCTGCTGACACATTCAAACTTATTTAATTCTAAAATACGTCCTGGTATACCAGGTGATACGATTAGAGAAAATGTTAGTCTTTCCCCATTAAAATCACAAACAGTTCAAGAAGAATCACAAACTTCTCCAGAATTTACCAACTACGCTGAGATCGTAGCATCTACATTTCTGGATTCAGATACAGATTGTTTGATTCTTTCACCTACTTACCAAAACTTGCAAACAATAATATGTGTAGTAATAATTTGTTCAGTAGTAATTTAAAAAAAAAATAGTTTTTAGTTAAACTGTTCGGGCTATTAGGCCGTTGTCTTCTGAGATTAGTTCTCGACGTTTCGCCAACACTAGCAGTTGGCATCTTCTGGAGATGTTAATGCTTCGCTTGTAAACAGAAACTGAAGTCAGTTTCAGAACGAGCGAAGCATTAACATCTCCAGAAGATGCCAACCCCTAGTGTTGGCGAAACGTCGAGAACTAATCTTAGAAGACAACGGCCTAATAGCCTAATACAGCATAGCATATTAACCAATATTAATTTCTTTCAAATATTTACCTTATATAAACGTTCGAACCTTAATTTCGTCATTTCCGCCATTTAAAAACTATTCGCTAAACTCTTTTGCAGTGTGTATGAATTGCAGCAATTTTAAAATAACATTTATATTTTAGAATATCAACAAAAAAAATTATTGATAATTACATTTTTTGCTTAAAACTATCAAAAAAATAATTTTAAATGTCAACATTTTACATACCCAAAAAGTTTTACTTTTTATTTGTTTTTTAAAATTATCCCGTTCAAGTTGGTCCAACTAACATTTCTCGTTGTGACTTACGTCTCTATTCTATATAATTATCCCAATATTCAAGAATAAAGGAGAGAAGAAACAACCTTGATTTTGAAAGGGTTAACTTACCACAATAATTTGGCGCACTAAACAGTGTCACTAACTGTCTTTTGGCGAAGAATTCATATCCATCTTCTACGACTTGATGCGCTCGACATATCAAATCAAAATCGTGTTTGTGCAAGAACTTTCCTACAACTTCGGCACCAAAAGTAAAACTAACTCCTCTATCGTTTTCTCCCCATCCCATCTGGTCTTTGTCTGGATCAGACCACAAAAGATCACAAAGAAGCCCTTGATCAGGTACATCGGTCGGTCTCATAATCCTTCTAATTTGTTCCATTGATTGTAAGTCTGGACTTAAACCTGTAACAGAAATAACAAGCGTAAATAAAGGAATTATTTAGTTCAAAATATAATACACATACTCATACACATAAAGAATTAGTCATTAAAAGAAATTTTTTCCCTTGCCCATCCATAACATTGCTGCGATTGCTGCCAACCAATGATTTAAATTGTATCAAAATATGGCAGCAAATGAAAGACTACGTAGCTTTTTCTACTTTTCGCATTTCTTGCGAAAATTCCTATGCCCTATAAGAGCGTCGGAGGTCTGTGTAGCTACACATAATAAAAAATTTTAAATGAAAGATAGTCGTGAATTTATGAAGCATTCATGGACAACTGCAGAAAATTGGAGAGCTGTTGTGAATCATGTGATTAAAGAAGGAGACAATATATGTTCTGGATCATCATCATCATTGGTGCTACAGCCCTATAAAAAATCCTCGACTTTCCCAAGTCTATTACGCCAGTCAGTTCTATTCATTGCCAATTGTTGCCAGTTTGCTGCGACTATTTTTCTACCATCCTCATCTACACCATCCCTCCATCTGAGTTTTGACCTACCACTACTTCTACTTCCCACAGGTTGTGACATAAAGATTTTTCTAGGAGGGTTGTTCTGTTGTGATCTTGCTAGATGTCCTGCATATCTTAGTCTTCGTATTTTTATAAGAGATACTACGTCTTTACTACCAAATATATATTTATATCTGTGATATATCTCGTAGTTGTACCTCCTTCTTCAAACACCATTTTCACAGATGACACCGAATATTCTTCTCAGGATCCTTCGTTCAAATATAAGCAGGAGATTGTCATCTGCCTTGGAAATGGTCCATGTCTCCGATCCATATGTGAACACCGGTTGTAAAGGGTTTTGTCTATGGTTATTTTTGTTTTTTGGCTTAAGTTTCTGCTTCTCATATGAGGACTCAATCCAAAATAGCATTTGTTTGCTAGGATTATTCTTCGCTTGATTTATTCCGTCATGACGTTCTCCTTGGTAATCAGGGAGCCGAAGTATGTGAATTTGTCCACCACTTCAAAGGTAGAGTTATCAACAGTGAATTGGTAGCCGATGTTTCTGGCTCTATTGTTGGGTGTTGATGTCATTATCTTAGTTTTCTCCTCATTTACTTGTAGGCCCATATTTTTTTAGGCATTTGACAAGGTGGTATACATTTCTTCTAGTTTGCGTGTTGTGCAGGCAACTAGGTCAACATCATCTGCATATGCCAAAATTTGGGATGATTTATTAGAAATGTTTCCCCTGTTGTCTATTTGGCCATCCCTGGCTATTTGGGCATGACCGCCATTAATTAGATTTAGGACCCGTAATACAATCTGTTACATTCCAATTTAACTAAAGCAGTTTCTCTGTTTACATTCACAACGGTTTATGAAAGCTATCGATGCTACTAAAATTATTATATTTTTTACCTTTCTAAAACTGAGATAAATGTGTTCTTTTCAAATATTGGAAGCTTCTAGGTGCACTTCAAGTAAGTACACTTCAAAATTTCCATAATATGTCAAATTATTTTTTTGAAATTATATATATGTCGTCATTTGACGACATCGTGACTCAACGAGTTGAGTAATAAACATTTTCACGGTTATTATTAGATCTAAAAATGAGTCAAATAAAGAGATTTGGGCCTCTTTCCGACCATCTAAAGAAACTAGATTTAGTTCATTTTTGGGCCTATATTGCAGAAGCTCTAATTTCATGTCGCATAGGAGCTAGAAAAATATGGAAATAAATCAGAACCAACAATAAAAAGAATTAGGAAAACCGGCATATTGATGATGTAAAGTTTGACAGGATAGCGCATTTTCCATTGCATGCAGATACGAAATCTGAAGATGTAAACTCCCAGAATATAAAGGCAGTTCCCGAATTCTTTGTCAAAAATTTAAAGTACATCTATGTTTGACAAGAAATAAAAATTATTTTTTACAATTTCATAAACCGAAATTTTGTTTAATATATTATAATCATTAAATCATATTTTTTTTAAATAAATAAATGTATGTTGGATAGGTAACATGGCGGCGTATGACTCTACATAAGTAAAATGGTCCTGAGACGAAGTGTCTACGAGGACCTGTTGATAACAACGGTGGCTATTAGCATGTACAACCGTTTGCACTGATGGTGGATTTATCAATCCGAAAACGTTTTGCAATGTGTTTGTGATAGCCCGTTTGGGGCATTTTTTATATACCTTTTATAAAGGATTTTAAACAATTTTTTCTTTATATTTCTGTTCTGGATAGCCTCACATAATAGACTGTAAAACCAACAATGATTTCCGTAAACGGTTCTAACGATTCATATAATATTAGCGAAGGGGATGATGTTATGGACTAAATTTTCTATCCTATAAAAAATTAATATTGACCTTTTAGAACGCACCTTAACTTTATTACTCCATTGAATTTTTTGACTCTAGAGGTATGAAAGAAAATACAGACATATACCCGTTTGCGAATTGGCATTTTAGTATTTATTTGTAAAATTGTTAGGATCTGTGTAAGAGATAAATCTCATTTTGAATATATGAGACATTAGAGGACTACTCTGACATTAACCTGGTAAAATTTGATGAAGTAAAATATATACAAATGAGGTCCTATCGGAAAAAGACTTAAAAACCTGATATAAAAATTCAAAAAGAAGAAGTAAAAACTGTGATGTTTGACAAAAAAGGCTAAATGAAAAAAATGTCTATAAAAAAAATCAACACACATTCAAACAATGTTTCTCAAAATAATAAATATGACTTCTATAAACGTGATTAATTAATTAACTTAGGATATCTAGAAGGAGAAATATTAATCAATATGCAAAACAAATATTTTTACCACTTTATAACAAGATGTTTTGCAATAATTGTACTTGACCTATTTTATCTTTATACAAATTATTTGAATATGAACCAAAACAAACGTGTACTCATTTTTATTATCTTTATATCAATAGAACAGAGTTCAATAGAAATAGAAAAAAAATTTTTTTGAAAGATAATAAACGGAAATAATTAAAAAGACAAATTTACTAAGTAACAATTCCGATCTTTGAAATATATCCATGAATAACCTGTGATACAAAAAATCCAAAAAAGTAAGCTATTTTAAACCCTATTAACAATAAACTAACTAAATATATTTCTTCAATAAGTTCAGATTCAGTGATATTCTCACTTCTCTTTTGCCTCAATCGATAATAAATATATAACTATTGGATTGAAATAATAATACGAAAATAAAATTTAGATCTTATAGTTTATTTTTGTCTGTCCATCCGTCCAGCCTCCTGAAAAAAAAAAACTGTAATAGATAAGGAAAAACTGGCGGCGGATTCATCCTAAAGTTAAAGTGTATAACTCACAAATGACGGTACATTTATTTTGACAACGGATATTCATAGTAGTACTTCTGGTGAATATTTTTGTTGACTTTAACTTTTTTTGTTTATTTTTGATCTTTTCAGACGTAGATTTAATCAAGAAACATGCAAAAATTGTTAAAAATTAGAGACTCTTATTATTTTAAAAAGATTACTTATTTGTTAGAAATAATTTCGATCTACAACTTTGCTAACAAAATAAAAATTCATACAGAACAATTGATATAACCCCTTGAGATTTAGTACATAATACAGGGCGGGAATAAATGAATAAATATACTGCCACTGATCAATGTGGTGTCATTAAGGTTGACACATTTTCCCCATCTATGTTCTCGAATTTCTAATGCTCTCCTACAGAATGTTTGTTCAGAAAGAAATATCTCCTTATATTACGCCTTATGTCTCTTCTTAATTTCCAATATATATGATCAATCAACAACATCCATTAAAATAGTTGAACAAACGGAGCCTATTAAGATACGTCGAGGAGTCAGACACTATATCACCCAAACTATCAATCAAGCAAATTGCAATGAGAAAAACGGGATATTAACATAAATGGCCAATACTTTAATCACTTTAGATATGTAGACGACATTGTATTAATAACAGATAAAAGGGAAGAATTACAAAATATAATGGATGAATGAAATAGCGAATCAACAAAAATAGGTCTACAAATGAATTATAATAAAACGAAAATTATGACCAACCAACCAGAAGAATTAATAATTACAATTGCACAAACAAGTATAGAACAAGTAAAAGAATATGTATATTTGGGATAACTAGTTAAATTAAATAAAGAAAATCAGACTGGAGAAATAAAGAGGATACGGTTGGCTTGAGTATCCTTCGGAAAACTTTTCTATATACTAAAATAGAAAATACCCCCAATATTTAAAAACAAGAGTCTTCAACCGATGTATACTTCCGGTTCTCACCTACGGTTTTCAAACTTAGACGTTTACAAAGGAAAACGTGGAAAAAATAGCAAAGACCCAAAGAGCCATGGAAAGGCAAATGCTGAACATCAGGTTATCAGACAAGAAAAGAAATACTTGGATCCACAACAAAACAAAAGTGACCGATGTATCCACGCAGATAGCAAAACTTAAGTGGAAGTTCGCTGGACATACCATAAGACAGAAAGACGAAAGATGGAATAAGATGATTATACTCTGGAGACCATATAGTTATAAACTAAAAAGAGGAAGACAAATGAGATGGTCAGATGACTTGAAGAAACACGTAGGCCCGAAGTGCCTACAATAGAGAGACGTGGAAGAAGTAAAAGGAGGCCTATGTCCAAAATTTGACAGCAAGGGCTGTATAGATAGATCTAGTCTCTTCTTGTGTCATTGACTGCCATATATCTCGCGAAATTTTAAATAAACTTCTTGGTGGTCTGGTGCTTATTGGACTTAAATTTCTTGTTATTGGGGTTAGTCTCTCACTATTAATTTATGTAACATTTCCACTCGCATCTTCTCTGTCTTCCCTACAATAACCTGTATTTTATAAGATCTCATATTTGGTTATTTGATCTTCTGCAGGTTCTATGGCACATGCCATGAATTTATTACACATGATTTAAATATAC